GACAGCTCTCCCAGACGCTTTCTTGAGACGTCCAAAGGGGTTTCCAGCCGTCATTGCCGGACACCCATCCCCAGTTAACTGGTGATGGCAGATTTTCAGTGGTGTCAGCTCGACCCCACACCTGTCCACCCTACCAAATAATGTTCGATATACATAATAATGTAAGCAATGTTTATATTTTTTAACGTACTCGTACTTCATAAGCTGCACGTAGTACATGTTGTTTAAACGCACATGCAGTTGGAGGAATAAGCAGTTTGTTCTCATTTGAAAATAATTGTTTTCGAGCCAGATTTACTCCAACACAGTCATCCATAACGCCATAAATACGACATGTGAATTTTTCTAAGAGTTTATAAATGTTCTCCGTTGGAGGAGGGCAAGGATCGGCGATATATTCGAAGGTCTGGATAAAATTCACTCCCTTCCTCTACGTTTGCATACTCCCCATCCTCGCCGTCTTCACTGGAATGGCTCTAGAAAAAATATTTTTGGGTGAAATTCAGTTCCAAAATGAAGTGGTAGCGATATACCTTTACTTTACTTACCTGACTAATTTCCTCTAGTGTATTAGGTATGTCAAAACCTACCGGTTCTCTTGGAATTTCCTGATCTTTTAAAAATAAGAGCAGCTTGTAATACCACAGAACAGGCTCGCATACTTCGTCAAAGCCAGCTCCAGATTTCTTGGAATCTGTGAATTTTTTAAATTCTTTTCGGAAATAACTTCGCATTGAATTAATTTTTTTAATAACATCTTGTTTCGTTGCATCTTCGTTAATTTGTTTCAACTTCTCAACTAAAATTGTGTATGCTTCATCTTATAATGTTTTATTTGAATAATCTTTTGATTTTATCTTCCATAAGCATGGATTTTCCTTATATAATTCGATGAATTCTCTCATAACATCTTCATGTTTCTTTGGCATTCTAGAACTCGCGATATTCCACGACTTCACAACTGCACTGCCACGAAAACCGCGCACAAGATTTGGCGCGCGCAAGCACGATTTCAACACACACTCTTAAGTTTGCCTCTGCACTTGCTCTAAAAATCAGACAAGAACAGATTCGCTTCGTGCCACGCGTCGAACTGAACGCGCCTTCAGTTTTCTACCATACACATTTACATTTGCACGCGAGCCCACAACTGCGCAGGCAAGTCTTAGCACTTGCCGGTATGTGTATGGGGAACTTAAGACATGAGGATAAATTATATTACTTCCAGTTACATTTTCTTCATCGCCTGGCATTTTTATAAGGTTTATTTTTTACTAGCACAACTTAAAATAATGCTACATTTTTAAGCTAATGGGAAAATGGCCGTTTTAAAACAATCGAAACAAGGTGCTTTGATCATATTATTGTACATAGTTAAATATCATACAGGGTGTAGAATTGGTTTATTATGATAAAGATTTCAATGGTGATGAAGTATGCAAGTATGCAACAAGTCTGGACCGGTCTAGGACGTTTCGGCGCGAAGCCATTTCGGCGCCACGCTATTTTTATAGAACTCTTACTTGATAAAGGCATTTTTTTTCGTTGTGTTTGTTTTTCATGAAAATTGATGTTCAAAATTGTCAAATTTAAAATTTTGCGAATAAATAATAATGATTGAAAGGGTTTAAAGGTGATGTGATGGCGGTAGAACGGGTTATCGAAAGTTACTCTTAAAGAAGTAAATACGTAACTTTTACTTTTACATAAAACATAACTGACGACTGCGTTTATTTAACTTTTATTTGATACAGTATTTAGTAAATATGAATTTCAAAATATGGCAGTATGGTTAATGATCGATTTGAAATAATAATATACACAAATTCAGTACTTAATATGAAAAAATGTAGTGCTTACATAAAACAATACACACTTACACGTGTAAAAGTTATGGTTCCATTTCGTAATTAATAGAAATACCTCGTAAGTACGCTATAACATTTCGATTGTGATAATCGGTTACAATCCTTCGAATGCGGGAATCAGCGTCACGATATTTTTTTAGTTTTTTCGGAGGAGTTCTTCCTGCCACCAACTGTTCATACACAACATCACGCCCCTTTTGAACCTGAGCAGTAATAAATTTCCACAACGTAGGATGATTCATACCAAGTTCGACCTGCAACCTTCGATGCGCGGCTTCAGCATGATTGTTGGTCCTGTCTTGGTTATTTATTACTCTTTGGTAGACTGACCACATTTCTGGTGGAAACATAGCATCTCTCCTGCCATTTCCTCTGCGGTTTGGACGTCCAATATCCTCAAACCACTGTAAAAGCGCTTGTAAGTCTACTGGTAAATGCTCCGATAATCGGTCTACTGCTTGGTCCAAATCTTGAATAGGGACAAAAGCCAAAGATGTAATAGACCTCACTAAAACCGCAAATTCGGGATCGGTGTTATACCGTGCTGTTAAGTGAAGACGTCCTAATTGTTTTTTTAAGTTTTTCGTTAGATGAAAAAAACATCCATGAATTTCTACATTATCAAATGCACGCTGAAATGCCAATATAGCAGCCAATTCAAAATCGCAAGATATATATCTTGGATTTAGCGGTAATTGCGGCATTATATCTTTGATCATAGCAAGCATGTTTGAATAGGTTGCTTGTTGCTTATTTGGCAGTAAGGCGTACAACAGCGGATGTACATAACCAAGTCGTTCCGCTAAAACCACATACACTTGGTAGAATAGGGGCGGTGTTGTTTTGAATGTTCCATCCACAAACCAATGATTTGATTCGTTCAAAATCTGAAACAAATTAAAATAAATACAGTGTTGATCGATGGTGGCTGATAAATTCAGGGGATGATACAGGGTCCCAAATGACGTCGATTTTTCTCAACTTCTTAGTACCTATCGAAAGCTTTTCGTTTGGCCGCGAGAGGTTATTTTGTTGCAAATTTATGAATTTTTAACAATATTAATTACAGGCAAATGACAAGACAACTTTTTATTTAAAAAATAGGTCTGTGAACATCATTACTGCACTAAAATACGTTCTCTGCCAAATATTAAAATTCTATTTGGATGTGGACCGCTGTCTGCCAATAAGAACATTTCTTCTGTACCATCAGCATTCTGGTAAAGTTTATCGGTCGGGAATAATCAGTTCTTCTACAGTAGCTGGATTTGGAGGACTAATATTCAATTGGTTTCTCTTTCTTCTAATTATTTTTGGTAATGCGTCATGTCTTGGTAACGTTGCTACATAAAAAAAAATACTAAAATAAAAATTTTAATACATATGATTATATAGGGTATACTCCAACTAAAATGTGTATTTCTTTAAAAATTCAAAGGTCTTTAGTGGTGTGATTTGATATTAACTATGAATTAACCGCTCGTATTTAAATAACTTTTATAAGGTTTTTAACCTTATTTAAGAGAACAAAATGCGTTAGAATCGAAGATAAAGTTACATTTGATTCAGTTTTGATATCTACAAAATTGATGGTTTTATTCATTTTTTGGCAATATCCGGAAAAATTATTAAGGTGGAAACGTTAGTTGGAACACTATGGAATAAACTTCAATTTACCTACTCCTACAAAGCGCGTGTTAGGAATAGTACATTGAAATACAAGTGCAGAAACGGTATTATTGAAAAACGAGTATAAATGTAGGAACACTCGCTGGCGCTCGTGTTCCTATTATACCAGTTTTTCAATGACCGTTTCGGCATGCGTGTTTCATACTATTTTTTCTACGAAAGTGAAAAATTCTTCTCTAGAAATTAGAAATTTCAACTAGCCAAATAACGACAAAAAATCGTATAGTCTGATCGTAGTTGGATGTTTCAATTGTAAATATGATCCAGTAAGCCGGTTGCCATGACAAAACATAATTGTTTGAAAAATCGTAAATTTAAGTCAAACAATTTGTGGCGTAGTGAAGAAGTGTTAAGATAGATTTTGACGAAACTGAAGATGAAGAAGGTATGTGCACCCCGCCGGACGTTGCGGAAATGGCTAATGCGGTTTCGCATGAATTGCTACCCCAAAAGTCTAAGCAGCGTTTCGGAAAGGAGCGTTTTCATAAGAGAACAAATCGCTAAGTTTTTGAGAGAAGCGCCTGATGAAACATTTGTAATGATGAAGGTTTGTGAATTTCTTATTGTATTTTTAAATCATAAATAAGCATAATTTAATTACAGGTTGCTCTCGTCCTTGGAGTGGCTGGAGCTTGCCGTCGGAGCGAACGTTGTAAAATGACTGTAACGGATTTCACAGAACAAGATGCAATTTTATTGATACCTAACGATTCCTGACTCCAAGAATCATGTCCCAAGAACGTTTTCTGTAGCAGAAGGCAAAGAAAATTCTACCATTGTCTGTCTTATATAACGAAACTGTGAATAAAGCAATACAATTACAAAGTTACTTCGCATATGTTTATTAGCGTCTAGAAAATGCGTGCAGAAAATATTTTTTTTCACTACTAGCGTCTGATGACATGATTATTAACCTTTTTTCCACATGTAAAGTAGGCTTTCTCGGCATTTGTTCAAAGTGGTTAATAATTTTTTATTATTAACTAGTAGTCAATAATGAGAACTGTCACGCTGTCACTTTTAGAAAACACAACCCGAAATTTCGCTCAATAAACGTTTAGACAAGTTCTCTAAAACGAATAATTGCCACCATTCGCAATTTCCAGAGAAATTACATACCTAAAAGTATCACATTTTGAAAAAATTCGATCGAAATTACTCTTTGAAAAATCTCAATGACAGAACAAAATACGGCCTGTTTGACTTGTACTTCCACGTACTTGATTGACATGTTAAATTAAGAAACAATTATGTCCAACCGTTAACTCTCTTATCAATATAATATGTTAATTTAGAGGATTTCAAAAGTGCTAGTAGTGAAAAAAATAGTATATATACCACGGTAGAGAAGTCTATTATTGCCTTCGCACCTTACACCCCTCGGCGCAAGCGCCTCGGGATGTAATCTTGGTGCTCAGGCAATAATAGTGGACTTCTCTACCTTGATATATAATGTACTATTATCTACTTTGCGTTACTAATCGACTCATTATTATATCAAAAACAGTTTAATTATGAAGGCTATTATTAACGTGTTTTTGGTGATTTTTATTTGTCGTATATTGGTAACATCCGTCGCGGCACAGAATATGTCAATGTCAAACGTCAATGATTGAGGTTAAATTGTATGTTTTGATAATGAATTATTGAACTTTTGTGTAAGTTTAATAGTAAAGAAGACTTTCCTAGTTATATAAATCAGTGTAGGTAAGTGATACACAATAATTGTAAAGAAATACCTATGTTTGGCAATTTTAGTGTGTTTATTACTTAGAAATAAAGAATGCAGGTACTTGTGGGAAAGTGGATTCTTCGGTTACATGGCACCAGTAAGTAAATGCAATTATCTGCAATTCATTTATCCCATACTTGCTTTTAGATTCCCAAGTAAAAAAGTAACAAGAATGGTGGCTGCAAGCATGTGAACTATCGGAATTCGAGGATGTAAAAAGAAGGCTGTGTTCTCGTCATTTTAACTGTTATGAGTGCATCGATTTGGATGCACGCAAGCACGATGGGGGTCACTTAACACCTAAAAGATTTCCAACTCTACAATGTTACTTTCATTTTAAAATCAGTAAATGTTTTTAATTTAATTGTGTTTCTTTAAACATTAGTAATGTATCACTTTGTATTATAGCTGATGCGAACTTATCCGATTTCATGTTATATTCAAGGTATAATCCCTATAGTTATATTATTTCAATTGCAATTTAAGTTTCTAAATCGTTACAAGGTTTCCCATCGAGGTTGAAGGGTGTAACCGGAAACAAACTCCGCTGAGGAAGCTCGAAAGTTCTCCGTGAAAATGCTACAGATTCCAAGCAGAACGATAGGGAGCACCTCGAACCAGGACGCATTGGGCTGCACACGAACATTGCTTTGAGTTAGCAATTAATTTGTTCCACTAGGCCTTTGGCTGTTGGGTGGTAACTGCAGGAGTGGAATCATTGCCGAAAACAATGTTGAGGGTACAAAAAACGTCCCTGATAGGTGATGGGAATTTAACCGTGATAGCCAACAGGTGACAAAAGCTTCAGCCACTTCCTCTGTCGTTATAATTTTGAGAGGATAGTCCTTGACCATCAAACATACTTACCCAGAGCCATCAGAAGATCAGGTAGTAGGATAGTCCGGTAGGTGGAATAGGGTCAATGTGAACCTGCATGAAACGAATAGAAGTCTGGGTGAAGTGTACGAATGGTGCGTGGTTGTGTTTACATATGGTAATGTGTTCCATTTCAAAAAATTTACATCCAAATTAAATGACAGATTATTTGAATTTGATTCACTGCTACTAGATCAGTGTTATCAACTTTGAACATACAGGGTTATCAACTGTCACAAAAGTTCCTAGTTTAATACGGTAAATTGAGCAGCCGAAATTCCAAGAATTTCAGTAAAGCAAAGTAGATAAAATAGTATATTACACTTGTTTAATAAGACGTATTATCACACTCGTTCCATTGAAGCACTCCTCGCTACGCTCGTCGTGCTTCAAACACACTCGTGTGATAATACAGCGTCTTATTAAACTCGTATAATAATATACTATTGCCGCACTAGTGTTTCAAAGACCTGTTTTCACAATCAATTTACCTACAAAAACAATCGTGTTTCTACACTTTCGTAGAAAAAGTAATATACATACCTTGAGCAGCTTGAGAAACATTAGCAACGCAATGGTTGATAACTTGGGCTGTCGATTCCATGGTATCTGCTGCACGTTTTTTTGTCGCCGTAATAGTCCAGGGAATAGAGGGTTTTAACTTGCAAAATGAGAAGTAGTTCCAATTTCTTTTGCATGTCATAGACAGTCATCTGGTGGTTAAGAATCGAAGTTTTCAACCTCCCACCCCTTGTGCTTCCCCCGTACCACCCCCAAAACCCCTGGAATTTGGTTGGTTTCTTAGTTTTTCAATCATGTCTTTTTAATGGTTCACTTTAGAAAAAAATATTGTTATCAGAAATTGTAGACCATAAAATTGTACAGAACTTTGATATACACTACTTTTTTGTAAAATGTTTATTAAAAAAGATATAGAGCTTGAGAGTTTTATGAGAAAATATCTTGAACTTATCGTGGTATAAACCCCCCTACCCTGCACCTTTAGCAAAGGGGATGCATAATAATTCAACTTTCAACCCTTGCTAGTGGGGATATTTGAATCCCTGTGAGATTGTAGCGCTTTCTAATATACTTTTAAAATTGAAAAATTGTCTCAATTCAGTTCAGTTTCACCCCTCCCCCTCTCCCCCCCGCGGTAGAAATAGATATTTAACCGCTCTTGTGGCTATTGTGAAGTTAGTCAGAGAGTATAACGCTTATTACATATGTGTTCTATTCCTCTTTAAATATCTATTCCTACCACGGGTGGAGGGGGGGGGGGATGAAGGATTTTAAGGGAGAAGCTGAACTGAGGTGTGAGATAATTTTTTTGTTTCAAACGAATATTAGAAAGCCCTACAATCTCACAGTGATTCAAATATCCCCACTAGCAAGGGTTGAAAGTTGAATTATTATGCATCCCCTTTGGTAAGGGTGCAGCGTAGGGGGATTTATACCACGATAAGTTCAAGATATTTTCTCATAAAACTCTTCATTATAGATATAAAGTATAAAATTTGGTTAAAACATCTACATAGAAATTTAAGAATTCTTAAAAATATAAGCAACTTTGAAGCTCTACACCGTTTTTAATAAACATTTCACAAAAAAGTAGTGTATATCAAATTTGTGTAGAATTTTATAATCTACAATTTCTGATAACGATATTTTTTTGTAAAATGAATCTATAAAAAGATTTGATTGAAAAACTAAAAAACCAACCAAATTTCTTTGGTTTTAAGGGTGGTGCGGGAGAAGCACAAGGGGTGGGAGGTCGAAAACTTGGATTCTTAACCACCAGATATTCTTTCATGACATGCAAACAAAATTGGAACTACTTCTCGTTTTGCAGGAAATGGTCCATTTTCAGTATCTATTTCCTGGACTATAAGGACTCTTCCAACTTCTACTTTAGCCGCTGTACTGTCATGATTGTGACAATTTATTGTTTTAGTAACGTTACCGTTTTGAACGTGTACTCTAGCTTTGCACGTATTTTTCCGTTCACATCTCCAAAATTGTTTTTCACCGCAAGCACTTAATTTATCAAACACATAAATGTAACCTTCTGCAGTAAACTTATTTTTCTCGCGTTTACTTTTAATATCTTCCATAGTGAAACGGAATTGCACTATTTACCAACGTACCACAGTTTTTCTAGTCATGCCGTCAGTAACTAAGATTTCTAATTTGTATGAACCTTATTGTTTACCCCACTTTTTGTTTATGCCTTTCGTGGTTAAGCTAAGGGTTTCTGTAGAAACAGTAATTTATGCAAAGCCAAACTTTCAAGGGCGTTCTTTTGTGGAAACATGTCAGGTAACATCCACAAAGTGTTTATACTATTTCGTTCGTAAATTTTTAAAATATCAATCATATATAGTATAGATGATGCGAATATACTCGTAAATTTATATTTCTTAATATTAATCTCTATGACGCAATAGTTTATTTTATATACATATAATAAGCTTGTGATGATCAATTATTGGGTCTACGTACGTAATGCAGTACATTACGAATATTAATTAGATTATAACCATTTATTTAAATTTTAATACTGTTTGACGTCAACACATTTTAATAATAATGCATGTTTTATTATACCTGAATCACAATCTCCGTTTTAAACACTCAAATGCGTGCGAAAAAGGGCCTTTAAAACACACGTGCTTTAAAGTTGCTAAGTAAGGATACTTCAAGTATGACTTTTGAAACTGTCATCTGGATGAAATAAAAAATCCTCTTAGGTCGCTTTCTGTAAATGCAGAACATTTCTTTGGCTTTTGTACCTATCCTTTGGTTGAAGCTTTCACAAACGCGCGTAATTAGGGTATGCTTCCAAATCTGTTCCACTTTTTAATCGCAGCATTGCTTTAAAGTTTTGAATGAATGCACCAAAATATAGAAGATTTAAATACCTTTGACAGTTCCTTCATATATGCCAGCATTATGGATGCATTTAAGACTGTATTCGTAAGTAACTTCCTATTCATCCATGGAAACAACTTTTCATATTCTTTATATAGGCTTTACTGGAGTTGGATTTTACACCTACCAACGTTTGTTTAGATTTTACAACAATCGATTTAATGGACGGTGTATTATCTTTTTCAACGGAAATCGTTTAATTCACAAAGACGATGATTTTTATAAGCAAACGTCAAGTGACATTTCCATGGCAATCGTGAAATACGAACACCCAGCCCACTTAATTAGACATGTATTCGAGTATAACGTCAATATGACTTCATTGTATTTCCTATTTTTAAATTATATTGCAGGTATAATAAAAAATACTATAAGATACACGTGTATAATTAGTCCTTAAAGCACTTGCAACGTTAAAGGCACTCCGCTTTGCGTCGTGCCCTTAAACTCGTTGCGCGTGCTTTAAAGACTTGATTATACACTTGTATCTTAATATACTATTTTTTAAATATAAATGTCCTCCCGCCTAAACGGGTGAAAATAACTTATGGCAATATAGCGTGGCGCCGAAATGGTTTCGCGCCGAAATGGCTTCGCGCCAAAATGGCTTCGCGCCGAAATGGCTTCGCGCCAAAATGGTTTCGCGCCAAAACGGCGGCGCCGAAACGTCCCATCCCGAGTCTGGACCGGTCTGAAACGTGTAAAGCGGCCTACTCACGAGGCAATTTGCAGGGTACAATTTGCAGGGACCCTGCGGATTGTCTCGTGTGTATTGCAATCGTTCCAATTTTTTAACGACTTCACGATATCGGCTAGTTGGGTTCTCAGTCATTCCAATCGCTCTGCTCCCCTCCCGAATACCCTGCGAATTATTGTGTGTGTGGGACAGTTGGAGGCGATTTGATCTTAATAAATGAGGTTATAGGTCGGCCGGGTTATTTGTTCTTTCACGTTGATTATTTTTTCTTGTTTTTGGCTAGAAAAAGTGGATTAGTGAAATACAATAATTTAAAAACATAATGTTGGAAAAAGAAAAGGAAGTATGGACCGATATCATCGACACATTTCGAGATATGCCTTTTTTATGGGACAAAACAAACAGTAACTACCTGAATCGCGATATGAGACAGGAAGGCTTCAATATTTTGCTAGATAAATATAAAGTGTTCGACAAATCAGCAACTTTAGATGTATTCAAGAAGAAATTAGAAAATATGCGGACAACGTATAACAGGGAACTAAAAAAAGTAAGTTGTTAATATAGATTTTTATTACTTTGTGTCTGTAAAAAGTAGGCATTTTACTAGTTTTGTATTATAATTTTTAGATAAAAAATTCGAAAATAACTGGGTCAGGATTAGATGATATTTATATACCATCATTGTGGTATTTCGACCTGATGGGATTCTTAACAGAAAATACCCAACCAAGCCGTGACGGAAAAGATACTTTGGAAAACTCTACTCAGGTAAATAATAACAAATACTATCAATCTATGATTTATTTATTTATTTTTCTTATAATGGCACAACTCTCAACATATTTTCCTGAAAAGAAACACTGCCTTCTGCATTGAAATATTCTTTAAATACGTTTCGAAC